CGAGAGAGAGAGAGAGAGAGAGAGAGAGAGAGAGAGAGAGAGAGAGAGAGAGAGAGAGGTCCACAAAACAGCTCGAACACTCTTGAGTAAAAAATGTCAAAACTTTGTTGCTCAATAAAAATATAACAAATCTGGACTTGGTCTTTCAAAGGTTCCTAGTTGAAATCCTTCCGGTAACTGTTTATGTAAGGGACGGATTAAGCCGGGTCAATACCAGGGGATGTGCCGGATAACTGGTGTACAGGATAATAAGACAACAGGCCGGATAACTGGTGCACACCCTTCCCTACGAGACACAAATGATGAATTTTGAAAAGTTCCTAAGTCAAAATTTCCCAGTACAGACGCATTTCCTGCATGAATACGAAATATCAATTCTCAAAACTCCCTTGGTTAAAATTTTTCATTGTAGCAGATTTATAAATAACTCAAACTAGCTGGCATGATAGAAAGACACATTCTCAAAGGTTCGTCAGGCATGATAGCCCTAACTTAACCCACCAAACACCCAGATTACAGTCCCAGAATTCTCAAACGTGTCAATCCTGCCTACTAGATATTTAGCAACATCATCTTGGTAAACAGAAAATTATTTGACCCTGGTACGTGAAACAGCATACAAAATGGCGTAGTAATTAGAATGAGACTTGACTGTACCTTATTCTAAACACACACACACACACACGCACACCAGTTTAGAGGGGGGGGGGGGGGCAGAAATTTACGGTAGGGGAAACTGGGGGTTAGACACAAACTGCAAAAAGTTACAAAAAACTTACTGAAATTACTGTACAACATTTGGTCGTAATCCAAGGGACTCTATAAACACAAACATCAAGAGACTCTAAGCTGCTCTATCTCTCTCTCTCTCTCTATCTCTCTCTCTCTCTACCACCACACCGAATAATAGACGTCACCCAGAGTACACCAATACCATAACCCGAAACTTTAACCGGATTACATCAACACTAGAGTAACGTATAAAGTCCGGATAAGAGAGAAAACACGGTTATAACGCAATCACCGGATAAGATCAACCTATAATGTATTTAAGTCCGGATAAGAGAGAAAACACGGTTATAACGCAATCACCGGATAAGATCAACCAGTTTCCGGAAAAAAAGAGAGGATGCATCACAATATCCGGACACTACGTAACATCCGGATAATGTAACTATTCCAAATATAAAACAAGCAATATTGTAGTGCATAATAACCGGATATTTCGGATAAGTTTGACATTTAATGAGGTTTCCGGCCGTTAATCTTCTACCATGAGTATCTTGAGAGGTGAAACAACTAAGGGTGTCTAAACTTCAGGTAATCTCTCTTGTACAGTGACTAGAGACATAGAGGCCTTGTTAGTGAGTTAGTTAAATAGTTAGCTAGTTAGTGAGTGAGTGAGCTAATTAGTGAGTGAGTGAGCTAGTTTGAGTTAGTTAGCTAGTTAGTGAGTGAGCTAGTTTGAGTGAGCCAATTAGTGAGTGAGTGAGCTAGTTAGTGAGTGAGTGAGCTAGTTAGTGAGTGAGTGAGCTAGTTTGAGAGTAAATTAGCTAGTTAGTGAGTGAGCTAGTTAGAATTAGTTAGCTAGTTAGTGAGTTAATTAGTGAGTGAGCTAGTTGAGAGTTAGTTAGCTAGTTAGCGAGTTAAATAGTGGGCTAGTTATTGACCTATAGGCATTAGTTAAAGAGAATTTAATGGTAGTTAGACACACAAGTGGATGGTGATTGGTGGTGATGAGTGATGATGGTGAGTGAATGGTGAATGACACTCATTAGTTCACATCACCAGGAACGAGGAGTACACAAAATAAATATAGGAACCTTTGAGAATCTAACCTGTGTCATAATTATAGTGAGTCAGTCAGTTACCGTCCCACACCACCAGGTAAGACAAAAACAATACCCACCTGTTCATAAAATTATTAAATATATTCTAATACTAAAATACCTACCAATAAATTCTCTTAACTAATACCTATAGTAATAAAATTCTCGATAAAACGTTATAAATTCTTTCTCTTTATATTTTAATGCTATAACAGAGAGAATTTTACTACGTTTAAAAGTTTATGGTCAAATTCTCGAACCATTGTACAATAACATGACCTAAATTCTGAACAATATCCTAAGTTAATTTTAATTCAAATAAATGAAATAGAAAAATAGAGTTAACTGGATATGGTACGTTAATCTTGTTTGTTTGTTTGTTTGTTTGTTTGTAAGGTCTTGTGTGTTGTTTATTTTTGTTTGCAGTAACACACACGTACACAAACGCATCAATAGTGAAGTAACCCACTAACGAGACCATTGATACACCCTTAACCACTTTCTTACGACTTAACTAAGAAATAAAAATGTACACTCTCTTACCCCTGGCACCCTGGCTATGACGTCACTCGAGGTACCAACAAGGAATATTAATGCATTAAGTCCTTTTATATAACTACTTTTGTTTATTTATTTATTCTTTTTTTTTTCATTTAATTCTCAAAATACTTATGAAAATTAGCCTCGGTATAGTTATTAATTCATTATTTTTCATGAGATATTTGTAAAATGCGGCATCTGGCAATATGGGAGGGTATATATATATGTAAACACGGGATAGAGAGCCAGTAATTACCCAGCTGTCAGAGGGGTGTATGCACGTCGTTATTACAGCATCAGTTTTTTTTTCATGGGGTTATTATTTATAATCTATAATGCTTTAACTCCCATCAATTTTCCAACCCTGAAATATATTGAAATAACTTTATAAATCCAGTCGTCGTTCTTGAGGCGGTGAATACAGTATGTGGAGACAAGAACCCTCGAATGACGTCACGTTCCCATGCAAGAGTTCAATAAATATTTTTGCCACACAATTTACCAAAAGACTAAAAATCAGATATACTTTTTTTTTACAAGTTTCGTGTAAAACCTAAACCTAAAAGAAAAACCATATGATATTTGAGTTAATTTTCAAGCGAGGTTTATAAGTTAAGAATAAAGATGGCGTCGTAAATGCTTTGAGACTTTGAGATTAAAATTATTTTCTGTAAGCACTAGGAGAATATTTCCCAGCACTAAAATAAACTTTTGAGAATCTCCGTTGCTGTGAATAACGAGAAAACAGCATTACGTTATTTCCTGTATTGTGTCAAGTGTGTCTGTCTAAATAATATAGTATGATTAATGTGAAAATGTAAATGTATGATAATGTATTACTGTATTACTTATGTTGTATGATACTGTATTATTGTATATTATTGTTGTATGATATTGTATTATTGTATATTACTGGTGTATGATAATGTGACGTAAGGGTGACGTAATCTTCCTCAGCCAATCAACTTCTCCGGTCCAGTCAGTTAATTTCAGTTCAGTACAGTTAAATTTCAGCAGTGTTAAATTTTAGTAGTACAGTACAACGTTAAATTAGTACATTGTTATATTTAGTACAATTAATGACACAAAACATCCTAGTTAGTGTGGAGAAATGTACACACAAATATAGACATAGCTTCACACACACACACTGACGCACATACTTACACAAACACACGCGCATATCCTCACCAACCACGCACACATACTTATAGACGCAAACAAACAAACACACACACACTCGCAAACACACTAAAAGAACGGCCAATCAGAACAGCTCACAGATACGACCAATCAGAAGAACACATATCTATGGCCAATCAGAACAGCTCACATAATACGTATACATGTATGTAAGTGTGAGTGTGTGTGTACAGATATCAAACCACTCTCTCTCACTCCACAAGAGATTAGATCCAGTGCTATCTTTAATCTCTCGTTACACACACACACACACACACAGAGAGCCTTTGTTACTCTCTCTCTCTCTCTCTCCACTAATCTTTAAATCAATGTCATTACTTATCACCTGTTGACCCACTCTACCTATTACTACTACTACTACTACTACTATACTATACTATTACTACTTCTACTACGACTGCTATCACTACTACTGTCATTGTTGCCATTTAATATCATCGAATTTTTCACTGTCACTGATGTCAGATATCACCGATAATGTTACAGTCTCCGCCACAATTATCACTGTCTCTAAGTCACTGTTACAGCAATTCACTCTTACTGGAAATTTACATCACCACCAATGTCACTGTCAGCACATATTATTATCACTGTCATGTCACTGTCAGCACATACTGTTATTACTTATTACTGTCATGTCACTGTCAGCACATACTGTTATCACTGGCATGGCACTGTCAGCACATACTGTTATCACTATCAGCACATACTGTTATCACTGTCAACACATACTGTTATCACTGTCATGTCAATGTCAGCACATACTGTTATTACTTATTACTGTCATGTCACTGTCAGCACATACTGTTATCACTGACATGGCACTGTCAGCACATACTGTTATCACTGTCATGTCACTGTCAGCACATACTGTTATTACTTATTACTGTCATGTCACTGTCAGCACATACTGTCATGTCAGTCACAGGCCACTGTCACTTCACTAAAATTCACTGTTACCTGGAATGTGTAACGATCACTGTTTGTCATGTCACACCCACCAATAGTGTCACCATTAATGTATATTGTCAAGTCATAATCATCACATGTGTCACAAATTTTTAGTAGTGTCATAAGAGCCTGTCATAAGCCATCAACAGTGTCAAGAGAGGCTGTCATAAGTCTTTGAGTGTCACAAGATCCTGTCACAAGGCATTACAAGTGTCGAGGAAGCTGTCATGTAGTGTCCCCTTAACGCCAGACGAAGCATCGCTCGCCTCAAGCCATCAACGACGTTCACATCAAAGGTAATCTTTTAAACATGTTAGGGAAGTTACTTAAAAGTCCCTTAAGGTTAAATCAGGGCTCTGTATAGAGTCTTCTGCCCGAGTAGGCATTCACCCAACAACGCCAGGCGAACTTACGACAGACTACATATTCTAGGGACAAATATTTCCTATTATAAAGAAAAGGGGCAGTGGGCAGTACCTTAGTGTCAGCTGAAGCCCTAAGATTAAACCTTCTATTCCGCCAGGTACTCCAACGTCGCCTCCAGGTAAGATCCAAGGGGTAAGGTATTAAGAGCGGAGCAGCACGTCCGACCAGTCACACAGCCAGCCCACTACTGACACTCTGCCCCGCTCAGCCCGCTGTTCACCCTCACGCCCGCCCGTCGCCTCCTCTGACGTCACTATACCCGATGACGCTCCGCCCACTGACGTCATCACCTACACTCACCCCTCCCTGGCCTAGATTCTCACACGCCCGTAAGTGTAAATTACCCCATAAATGGTGATATGAGTCAATATTAAAGAACTCCGAGCAGTGTTTACCTACAGCACAAAATTATTGAACTGTGAACTACGGACATCCAGTTCTGAGGTCTACGTAATAGTGACGTCATAACAAAGGGGACATGATCAACGTAATAGTGACATCATAACAAAGGGGACATGATCAACGTAATAGTGACGTCACAAGTAAATTTAGACAGGTCATCAACAATAAAACAATATTCAGTTGCGTTCATCTGCCGTCAACGTGAGTTTTACCGACTGTCGACAGATGGCGTAACACTCTGTTGTACGCGACACCACGGGAGCGACAGACAGACACGAAAGACATACGGAGGGATACATAAACAAGACAGACAGAGACAAACAAATCAGACAAAAACAATAACAAAGACAAACAGACAAACACCCAGACAGAGAAACACACAATCAAACAGACAGAATTCCAACTCTAGTCATTAACAGTCATTCAAACAGTCATTATTAACTGTAAGAAAATAAACTTAGATTATCAACACACTATGAAGGACCATCTCACCTGGTGTTAATTAGGTGATACAGACAGGTAAGGATCACTAAGTGGGTGAGGTGAGGTGTGTGTGTGTGTGAGGTCATGGAAGGTCAAACTACTACGACTGCAACAGCAAAAGCAAATATATATATATACATCTCTCTCTCCCCCTCCCTCCCTCCTCCCCACCCCCTCCCTCCTTCCCACCCCCCTCCTGAACATCGCCTCACCTAATACCCGCCTCTCACACACACCAGCCAGGTAAACAGCGCTAAATGGAGGGGTATTTTGTAGAGAAGGGGAGGGGGGGCATTAGAGGAGGGGAGGGGGGGGAAGAGGGGGTGATGCCCAACTTTTTCTTGAGTCATACCCCTTCTTCCTGCTCTCCCCGTCTTCCCTCCTCTTCCTCCTCCCCGAAATATAAACAATAATATGATAAATTCTCTAAACGGTTTTATATTTGCATCTCTCTCTCTCTCTCACTTATACGCCCTGACCACACTACAGCACCACCCTTACACAGGATTTATCACTTTAATTTCTTATAAGTACTGGTAGCCCCCCCTTCCCTTGCTTATATTACTCCACTGTTTGACTTAAATTATTTCCAAAACACTAACACTTACTCTAACGCACTTAAACACACACTTCAACGCACTTTAAACACTCACACCAACGCACTGAAACACCACCCATTATTTTTATTATCATTATTTTAAGTAAGGATAACATCAGGTCACCTAAGGTCACCTCAGGTCACATGAATGTATTGACGTCACAAGAGATATAACCCCAGATGAATGACGTCATAGATCACAGCCGCCTGTGGACTCTCAGCTTTGAGTGATGGTGAGCTTAAAGGATACGGGACATACATACATACATACTTGCATTACATACACACACACACACACAGCAGACAAAGAGGCAGGGGAGGAACTGCACAGGCCAGGAGCATCTCAGCAGACAAAACACTTCCTGAAGTTGACGCAACGCCGCCAGCAGAGGCAAAAGCAGGACAAAGGAACCACCACCACAACCAGTAGAAGCAGAAGCAGGGAACACAACCATCACCACTACAACCATATACACAAACACCTCTTCTCCCCCCCCCACACATACAACCCTCTCTCCTACACAAACACCTCTTCTCCTCCCCCCCACATACAACCCTTTCTCCCACAAAAACACCCCCCACCACCCCCACACATACAACCCTCTCTCCTCCACAAACACCCCCACCACCCCACACATACAACCCCTCTACACAAACACCCCCACCACCCCCACACATACAACCCCCCTCCTACACAAACACCTCTTCTCCCCCACACATACAACCCCTCCTACAAACACCCCCCCCACCACCCCCCACACATACAACCCTCTCTCCTACACAACACCCCCACCACCCCACACATACAACCCTCCTACACAAACACCCCCCACCACCCCACACATACAACCCTCCTACACAAACACCTCTTCTCCCCCACACATACAACCCTCTCTCCACACAAACACCTCTTCTCCCCACACATACAACCCTCTCTCCTACACAAACACCTCTTTCTCCCCACGCATACAACCCCTCTCTCCTACACAAACACCTTCCCCCACACAATTGACACCTAATTATCATATCTACATATTTATATTTTAACAATACACAGGATAAAGTATACAATAATTATACTCTTAAGTAAACAGAGTGTATAAGTAACATACACTCACTACTGTTGACACGCCATTAAGTGTTGTGTACTTTTTATGACTCGGGTTGAAAGATGCTGTAATTAAGTGGCAATTCTGTTCACTA